ACAGATGTTGGTTCTCTTCATGAAAGAAACCACAGAAACTGGAAACAGATGACATAAAATAGCAAATAGAATTCTTCATAGTATTTTACAGGTCTGAACCAAAGGGGAAAAAAATACATTAATTAATTAAACAGTTTGACAACTGCAAATGCTTTCTTTGAAAATAAAAGCTGCTGGTGCTTGTCTCTTTGGTTTTGAAGACAAACATGAATGTCAGTGTATTCTACCAAACCACATGCATCGCATAACATCCACAAATCATAGTACACAGTATTTGGCCTCTGTTATAGTGAATGGGTATGTTTCCTCTGGCCACAAAGCATAAAGGTTTGGAAGCCTTCCAGAAGCATAGGGATGCGTGTTGGTTATGTTTTGAGTCTAATGTTTTATGTGCTAACCTTCCAGACCACGTCAAACTCCACAGTTCAGATCGGCCCAGACAGGAAGTCAAACATGAAAGCAGTGTGACACACCTAGAAACTCAAAATAAAACTCGCATGTAGATTTTCAGTTGCTCAGTTAGTAAAAAAAAAAGTGCTTCATTTCCTGTGAAACTTTAGTAGCTGAGGTTAAAAGAACAGAAAATAAATCCCAAACGCCAGGGCATCATTTATCAACCGTACTCGTACACAGATCTGTGCGTATGTCACGTGTAGGAACTAATTTACACTTTATGTGGTATTCTTCATTCTGTACTTGTGTGTGGAAATGTTGCTGAGCATAAGAAAACCTCAGACCATGTATACGGACAGCATCTAGTGCTAGTGGTAGAACGAGGGAACCCCAGTACTGAAGGTCTCAGTAGTCCATGCGTTCCCCATCCACACATCATTTCACCCAATAAATAATAATTTAAGTAGAAAAACAGCTGTGTCGCATAACTGGTGCTAAAACCAATAAAAAGCACCAGTGAACGACGGGGATCTGACATTATATCATGGCTGATCTGTGTTATTGGAGGATTTGGCAGAGCGTGCACTCTAGAGGGAAGGCATCCGCAGTGAGCGCACTGATCATCTGGAGATCCTTCTGCAGCTTTGCTGTGATTTGGAACATTTTGTGGAGGGGCAGACAAACCGCACAAATCCAATTCCAGTATACATTCAATTATTGACATCTACGAGAATCCCCAGAACCATCCTCTGCTCTCTGATCATGTATACGTTTGTCAAGGTAACCAGACTGAATGACAGCCCAGAGGAGAACAGTTCACACTTTCATACTCCAAACAGAACATTATACAACTCATTAAATGTTAACTGTAAATAACAACAAAATGGAACATCTACGCTTGGCTGACCTAGAGTTACTGACTGTCCCACAGTCTAGGTACAGGTCTAGAGGTGATCAGGCTTTCTCTTGACTCCTTTTCTCTGGAATGAGCTTCCACTCGATATTAATCTGTCACCATTACTGCAGGTCTTCTAGAGTCGTTTGAAGACTGATTTTTATCGTTTGGCTTTTATGTGACTGGGTTTTAGGTTTTTATGCTCCTTTTACATTTTATATGTTGCTTTTATCTTCTTTTTATTGCTCTGTATGTTTTTAGTGTACTTTATGTTCAACGCCTTGGGCTCCCGCAAAGGCAGTGGAAGGCGTTATATAAATAAAGATTGATTGATTGCTTGATACAGTCTCTTATTCTACATTTTTAAACATTTAGTTTTATTTTTTTTATGTTGAATAATTCTTTTGTTATTTCTGACCAGGACCTCTCCTCTGACCTGACTGTGTTTACAACCCCTACAACTCATTTGTCTCTCCTCTTTTTGGGCGGCCAGTGCTTTGGTCTCACTGTTGATACATTTTTCTTTTTTTCTCTGTGAAGAATGCAGAAGAATGAGCCGAGGACGTTGCATGACCAAATATGGTTAATTGAGGGTGCTTCTGTATGTAAATGACAGTGAACTGACAGGAGCACCTGGGTATGCACAGGTGGGATTTATCATCAGACGTTTGCAAAGGAACATGCGTGCGAGTGGCCACCGCATGTTTCATAAATCAGGATTTTGATCGTTTTAACGATCATTCTAGATTATACGAAGGAATATAGGAATATTTCTATGAATGTTTAATGAATGATGGCCCAGGACTCTTGTGTTGTGTCTACCGTGATTTTGTGAGGTGCTTTTCGCTGCTGTTTAGCATCTAAAACGCTCCCGATTGGAAGGGAGATTGCGGGTAAATTACGAGTTGCTCACATATCCAGTGGAAGGCTGGGTAAAGTAGGCCGAATACTCAGAGCAAGTAAAAGTTGGTAACTGCAGGGTCTAAATGTCACCCACTAGTGTTTGGCTTCTTCTATTAAATTACTTTTACGGTAATTTGGTGATTTTCTTTAATCAGATAAAGTATTGATAACACTCTCTAGGCACAGTGTAGTGGTATGTTTTCTTGTCAGCCTCTGCCACATTCCTAGGGCTACAAGAGCAGCACATCGCTATCCTTCTCATTCCTCACCAGTATTTGGCCATTTTAGGGCGGTGTGCCAAACACTCACCTTGAGTGCTGAATCACACATCCCAGAGGCTGCCCATCTCTGCCTGATGAATTTTCTTGGGAAGGAAGGGAGGGGTTATCTCGGAGGTCACCCTAATGTGAGCGACATTCATCAAACTTCGCTCTTGAGGAAGTGGCTGAAATTGGAAAATGGAAAGGGGAGTGATTTCTGAAGGGATGCAGGCAATCTGGGGCAAAGAAAGGGGAGAGGCGAGCAAAACAAACAAACAGCTTTAATGCAAAGTCGGATGATAGCTAATGGGTTGGAGATATGGCAAGAGGTCAGTGCATGGTTACATGTTGTAAACAGAAGTCAGCTCATTCATCACAGCTGCCTTAAGATTTTTCTCTTGCAGCCTTTGCTCTAAATTTGGTATCCATCACATAGACAGTCCTATCAAAGGAACTGTTTGGATTTGAAATTATATTCCTCCTAATGCAAGATGCTATTGTGTCAGTAATCTGCCTGTGACATGAAACATGTTTGTTTATTTGTTTTAATTTAAAGAAAGTTTCCTACAAAACAGCAAAACAAAACTTTTTTCATCATCAATGGTGGACTCGTAAGATCACAAGAACCCTTGCTAATTCAAAGGTTACAAGTTGTTTCTATCATCTGCCATTAAAGCAGGAAGAAGAAACGGGAAATCATAATTTATGTCACTGTTTGATGCAATTGATAATGTTGTTCCTCTTCACTTCCAGAATTAAAGTCATAAAAGCACTTTGATGCACTTCTCAAAAGGTGCTAGGAGTAAATAAGTAATTAGATGACCTGTATTGGCATAATCTACATAGATAAGAAATTGCATCTCTGCAATAGTCTTTTATTTTGAAAGCTATTGATCATTTTACACTGATATTCTGTGTGATTTCCTGTCTAGTCCTATGTTAACTGCAGAAATTGATGCAAAGTGGCTCGTGTCAAAACAGAACCAGCTCAGTGGCCTAGGAGTAGAGTGTCTGCCCTTAAACTGGGAGATCAGGGTTCAATTCCTGGTTGGGTTGTATCAAAAACTTTGAACAAATGGGACCCAATGCCTCCCTGCTTGACACTCAGTATTAAGGTGTTGGATCGGTCCTCGAGCGCAGCTGTGTCTGCAGCTCACCATGTTGGGTAATTTTATTAATCCAAGATTACCTTAGGGAAAGTTCAAAGCACAGAGGGTTATAGCAATCAATCGATCAACACCTATACCAATCATAAACAAACAATTTAGACTTTGCAAAGTGGAGAGAAAAAGATACACACCAGTCAACGGGTCTCAGTTCACTCTCATCGGACCGGAAGTCCTCCGACAATATTTATTAGCACACTAGCACACACAAAGATTAAAGGGGCATTATGGAAGTTTGACAGCCAAAACATGTCTAGAAATAATAAATTTCTTCTTCATACATTCTCCTGCAATGCCCTGGTCCTGCAGAATGAGCCCTGGCATTTTTACTGTGATTGCCTGTTTTTCTGTAAAATCACAGAAAAAGAGAGTTGCTCGGGTCGAGCAGGCTGCTTCATGCGCGTTCACGCTCAGGCATAGTCAGTAGCATTTGCTATCCGTAGCTTTAGCAGCAGAGAGCGAGGTAGTGCCAACTCAGTGACTTTGTCGCTGTTCCTAACGCCTAGTGACGAACCTAGCTACATTTCTCAGGACCCTTAGCTACTTTCTGTAGAACTTTCTTCTAGATATTTCCTGCACATTAACAACAAAACAGCCATTTTCGCTTCGAACCGTTCTTTGGATTGACGTTGTTTCAGCTGTCATCAAGGATATAAAAGTTACAGAGACTGTGAATGCTACTGGAGTGTAGCTCACCTTGTAGGATGTCTGACTCCCATGCATAAGACCTGGGTTTGACTCCTGGTGGGAACATAGTTTATTTAGAGTTTCTTTTTTACATTAATGGTGTATTTTTTTACAGTAAGATGCCCAAATTTTTATTTGAGACTCGCCGAACGGCATTGCATTCACAGATAAAAAAGATGTGGGTTCAAATTTCATTTTGGAACAATTTTTCAAGCAAGGGAAGGGAATGATCTGAGCATGCAGGAGGACCGACCCATCTTAAACCTTTGTCGGCTGTGCTGAAGAGAAAGGTACAGAACCAAATTATTTAATTAATTAGCTGCGCGTTCTCCTGTCCTCTGTCCTCCGGGCCACACACACACACACACACACACACACACACACACACACACACACACACACACACACACACACACACACACACACAGACACACACACACACACACACACACACACACACACACACACACACACACACACACACACACACACACACACACACACACAGGACTGTATCAGGTGTTATTTTCGTTAAGGAGTGTGCACGTACAGCATGCGCGCCTCATGCATGACCCTACTATTGAAGCTGCCGTTACGCTTTTGGCCTGAGGGGGCAATCGCGAACATAAAAATTCAAAACTCCAAAGTCCCTTTAACACACACACACACACTTCACATTCCTTAGACTCTCAGGCAGGAAAGCTGTGAAGAGAGTCCAAACTCTAAAACTCCAGGTGCACCCTAAATCAACAAAGCAATTTCTAGACTTTCTCAAGGGAGTTTTACCGATAAAGGTCGGTTCTGAGGCAAGGTCAATCCTCCTTGTAGGAGCTAGTGGAGACTGGTATCTGTCAACAGGATGAAGCTGCGTTTTAATAAGCCACCAGATGTTTACCAGTCAAGACAGTAATATTAATTCACTAATAACATCAGTTTTTACTTAACACACCGCTCCCCCAGGGGATGGGTCAAATACAGAGAACAAATTTCACACATACATCAGTGTGTGTGACAACTGATGGGACTTTATTTTATAAGTTTAGTGGCATGGCGTGGTGCAGCCCAGCGCTGCTCTGCTTCCGGGACACACCTGAAATTTTCCTCCAGGTTGGATCTACTCATAGAAAATAATGGATTCCATTTGTAGCGTAATGGTTGTTGGCTCTTTTATGAAAGATAAACCATTCTACATAATAATCTGGAATATTAATTTTAGCAAATTAACAACCAAATGTTATAGAGATAAGAAGACTCAAAGGTTGTTTTCATCGATAAACTGACGATCATATCCGCTTGTCTGTGTTTCAGTTCAATGAAAAGACAAGTTTAAATTTTAAGAGTTTTAATTCTTCAATTTAAACTAACAATTTGAAATGACAATCATAGGAAAAATAATCAACATTGGCAACCTTGTTGGACAATCTTTAACAGTTGTTATTTTAAGCTTGCACAAATAAACCTTGTGTTAGATGTGCTAAGATTTGAGAATAATGGAATTATGAATGCGTGCATGCAGGTGTCTGAGATTGCTTCCGGGAGAGAAAAGGTGTCTGAGTGAAAAATGATGTTTTGCAATTAAACTTTAGTTCTTATTAGAAAACAGCATCAGAACGCAATCAATCGTGTTCTTCCTCACCGTACTTAGGATCCCCGTTTAGATCCGGACCTCGGAGGATGTTTTATCCAGGTCACACCTTGGCTGGCAGAGGAGACAAAGGTGTGCAGCGATCCGGTCCAGAGTTGACCTCGGTACACGTTGCTGAAGCATTCAGCAGATGTGCTTTCTCAAGTTTAAATTAACTCAGAAACCAAAAGACTCTGGGACGAGTCTGAGTTAGCTGGTTGCATTTCAGCTATTCTGTCTAGCTTGACAGAAATAGCGTGGGGGGAGAAAAGAAGCCGGCAGGCTTCTTTCCCAGTGGCGTTCGTTCCGCACTTCCTCTCTCTTCTGTTCTCACTCTCGTTCTGACTAACTTACCCAAACCACTTCTCTTCCCAAAGCAAACTTGTGCGTCAGAGCAAATGTGTTTTGAATTACTGTGGATCTGGACCTGTATGAGCAGGTGTGAAGGTCATCGCTAAACATCTTCAAAAACATTATTTAATTAAGTATACTGATTCATTATAGTTCATTATGATTACCCAAAGCATAATAATCATTCATTTGATTAAAGTACATTTATAATGAGCAAAGTGATCAAATGATTATTTAACACTAATAAATAAAGGAAAGCTTAAGACTGTTTTATTATGACTAGATAATCAGTGAAGTCCTTCCTCTGGAGATGCAGGTGTTCAGCTGTTGTGGAGTCCTTCAGACTTGCTGGCGTCTTAGATCTTAATCTGTGGGTGAAGGTGCTGCGTGACCCAGCTTTGACCCAGCCGGGTAAATACGACCTTTGGCACAGAAACCCATACTTCCTCACGTTACACATTTAAACCAGAGACGTTGCCGTTCCGCACCACTTGTGACTCTAGTGTGGATTAGGAGTTAGACTGCACTAGGGCTGCCTCTGGTCTCTGATGTTGTTGTAGTGTTCATAGATAATATCTCAGGATGAAGCTGTGGACCAAAGGGTATTTGGTTTGGGAACTTTAGAGATTCATCAAAACGTTTTGTAGATGTCATGTTTCTGAAGACATCTTCAAGTTATGATACTCAACATGCACTCAAGTGGTTTTTTGCCTATTGTGAAGCAGCCAGGATCAGAATAAGATCCTTTAAATTTAAGGCCATGATTCTTGACTGAAAATTTTTAATTTTCCCTCCAAGTTCAAGATGAGTCTCTGCTTCAAGCAGAGGAGTTTAGAAATGTTAGACTTTTTTTTTCTGAAGCGATGGTAGGTTGGAGTGAGAAATAGACCAATGAATAAGGGGTTTGTCTGTAGTAATGAGGTCATTGCTCTAGTTTATAATGATAAAGACAGCTTAGCCAAAACAAAAAGCTTTTGATTCTGATTCATTGGTCTCTCTATGTTCCAACCCTCAATTATTGTCACAAGATTTGGACAATGACCAACAAAAAAAAAAAAAAATCAAGATTCTGGATAAAAGCAGTTGAAATGGGGAGCCTAAGTCTCCACACCTTCTAGTCTGCTCATAGTTTCCTGAGTGAAAAGAATGTAAGTGAACGGGGCTATGAAAGTTGTTTTGTGGTCTGCCATAGCCTTTTCTGGTCTGTGTGCTTAAGCTGGGTAACTCTTCTGTCTGTGTTTGTGTGTTGCGTTCACATAAAACTTCTGCAGAGTGAAAACTCTAAATTGCCCACAGTTTGCATGTGAGTAAATGTGAACGAGTTAACTGTGGAGCAAAATCAATATCAGATTCAAAAAATAGGCTGAAAACTCCCAAAGGATACAGGAAAAACAAAACATTATGATGCACATAAATATATTTTCATGCATCCATGGTGATTATTTCATTTTGTCTTCTTCTGCTCATGCCCTTACGTCTGCTTACTCACTGATGCTTGGTCCAGAAATGCACATGCTTATTTGGCATCTGGGCTGCTTTTCTCACATGGGGATTGCCAGCACATACTGCAAAGCTGGTTTCCTAAGCAGAGGTTTAATTATGGTGACCTTAAAAGCCTGCAGTACATTTCAACTGACTGAAGGTGATATGATCAGATAAAAAAAAAGGAGAATTTAATTATGAGGAAAAATCTCCTTGAATGATTTGGTTGGAAGGGGGTCCAAGAGATGAGTTAATAATTTGGATGAAGTTGCTGTAATCTCAGAACCTGACAAACACAACTGTGTTTGATGAATGGAGAGCATGTGTCCACTTGAAAAAGAATGGCCTTAATTAAACATAATTCATTGAGTTTAGACAGATTTTTTTATGTTTGAAATATGCATGGTGTAGTCTACTGTTTCAAAATTCTTCCTATTAAAATGATCAGGTGCTGGGGTGGGATTGAGAATGTCAAATATCAAAAAAGAAACACCTCAGAAGTCAACATGAAACCTTCCAAAATATTGATCAAACCAGTGTTAATTATTTCAAGGAAATCTGGCAGCAACATATAAAGAAATGTGGTGTGCCGTGAACCTTCTGTATATCTGTATGATAGCCTTTCAGTTACCATTTTTTACATTTATTTTGTCTGCAGTCATCTATGAAACCTTGAAGAGTCATAAATATTAAAGATTTTTTACTTTTGATGCAATCCACCACTTTGATCAAAGCCCTTCTCAAATCCTCCCCAGAAGACCACATCCTCCATATCTTAGATACTGAAATGTGTGTTTTTTTTAAATCCTGTGAACAGATAGAACTATTTTGATTGTTTGTGTGTATGCATGCACACTATACCAAGACCAGAAATGTTGTTAGTAGGAAACAAGTGTATACGGACAAGTATTTTAGAAATAGCTTTTCTTTCTGTGTTTTTATTTTTTTGTTTATCTTTGCTGAAAAATAAAAATGACTTCTGTCAGGATGGAGTGCCAAAGAAAAAACAGGGGATAGAACCATGGTGAGAATAAAACCCATGTTCATCTGAGGCATTAAAGAGCAGCCCTGTTGGCTAAACATCCCTCTCTCATGTTTTTCCAAAGACAGTTCCTTTGGGGCTAAATGTGGGAAGTAGGTCATCCTTTTTTGGAGCGACCATTTTCTGTTGGTACAACATTAATATTTGATATACACCATATCCCTTATGGATAGATGAGAATTTTGACTGGAGGGGTGGGTTTGTAAAGACTGTACACACAGCCATCAAATGGTACATGCATCTGCAAATACCACCTAGAGGTGTTGTAACAGTGTAACTGTAAAATATACTGTCACTCATAACATTACAGAGGTAACGGCATGCTTGCAGAAATATGTTTGAGCTAATACCATAAGTCTGTGTTGCCTCCAGAAAGATTTAAACCACTATTAATGGATCCAGTTGAACAAATGCTTAGAATAAACTTCATCAAAAAACAGTCAAAATAAAATATATGAAGAATTTTCATCAGTTAATACAATAGTGATGCACAAATGAAAAGAAACTTGAAATAATGTGAAAAGGGACTGGCATGAAAAATGAAATGCAATTTACGCAAACCAAAGAGTAAAGTATCGACACAAGGAAAGATAACATGTTAGAAGATAAAGGTTTGGGGAAAGTGAAAAGGTTCCTAGAATCCACCCTCTGTGCATCTTCACTCAAGCAAGAAGCAGTTACATTTGGTAAATGGGATTGAAAGCACTACAGTCTAAAATTATTGTCCTGTTAATGAATGTTACAGCATCAGACCCACTTAAGTAGTGAAGACATAGTCCTTTACAAGGTCATAATATAACACACTTTTTTGTAAAAGAGTAAAACAACCTCACATCTTTTAACAGATACAATATAGCGTACACAGTGAAGATGACTTTTTGGCAAGCAACAGCTAGAGTAAAACAGGTTTGCATTCATTGGATCACTCTATTGCCCCTGCTGAGCTGAAATTCAGCAATGTCTCACTGAATATTCATTAAATGTTCAGACTAGCGATTTATGGCACGGCTAGGGTGTGTGGATTCACGCAATCTGTTCACTGCAACTTGTGGATCATAATCATCACCTCTGACACATGCCTACTAAAAAACAACTTTCAGATTTTTTTTCTGTTTGTTTGTAGGTTTTGACCATTATTCTTTCTCTCGATTCTAAATTACCTCACTGATTTTGTCATTTTGCAATGAGAGAGAAAATAAGTGTATGTTGCCAGGCTTTTGCATGAGTCTCAAGGTCTGATGTGGCCTTTTGAATTCCTTAAAATGGGATGTCTGGATCAACATCAGGGTTAGTCATTTAAAGATGAAGTAAATGGTAAATGGCCTGTATTTGATATAGTGCCTTCTAGAGTCCTGGAACCCCTCAAGGCATTTTACAACACAATCAGCCATTCACACACTCATTCACACACTGGTGGGGATGAGCTACAATGTAGCCACAGCTGCCCTGGGGCACACTGACAGAGGCGAGGCTGCCGAGCACTGGCGCCACCAGTCCCTCCGACCACCACCAGCAGGCAACGTGGGTTCAGTGTCTTGCCCAAGGACACAACAACAGTGACAGACTGAGCGGGGCTCGAACCTGCAACCTCCCGATTACGGGGCGAGCACTTAACTCCTGTGCCAACATCGCCCCAAGTATCTGCTGAGCAATTCTCAATGTAAGCCTTGTAATATTTTTAACTGCACAGACTTATAGAGTAGATCTATAAATTCATTACAGTTATTCAATATGTGAGTTTCTGTAAAAAAACAATGACACAGACATTTTTATCTACACAGACTGCATGGTTGCTTCCACATTCCTGAAAACAGATATATCATTAATCTGTGTTATGAACACTGTTTTAAACAACATTTGCTGCCTATGAATGCTTTTTAGTGATCTTGGATTGGTAGTTGTTTATATGGTCGTTATGAGATGCATACACACGATGCATAAACAAACACCAGCTGGTCATATCAAAATAACCACAGTTCTTTATATACTGTGTTGCAAACACTGTTTATTGATTCAGTTGAAAACAGTGCAAGTGAAGGCAACTCTATGTAGGGCTGTGATCTGCATCACTTATGTGAGCAATGTAAATAAATGAATAAATACATATCATGTTTAGTCGTTTTTCAACACATTTGCAGTGGTCTAAATGAATGACTTGTGAGTTGATCTCTGTGGGAAAAAGCTTGTGTGCTCCTGTTTCAGGAGATAGAGGTTAGTGATGTGAATTCTGGCTCTTTTCAGAGAGCCGGTTCTTTTGGCTCAGCTCACCAAAAAGAGCCGGCTCTTTTGGCTCCCAAGTGGCTCCACAGATTTTCTGTTGCGTAGAGTCCATTTATAACCAAAATAATGCAAAACTATTTGTAAAATGATTTACTAATGTAAAAATAGCAATATATCAAATATTCATAATTTCTTTGGATTTACTAACTGAACACTTTAAGAAATCTCCACTTTCCGACTGCTGGCGCTCATTTTCTCACCGTCTTCGTCTCCTCTCTCTCGCTCACCTTTTTCCTCCTCCTCCTCATTCCCTCTCGTCTCCCTCCGCCCGCATGTGCTCTGCTGTGTGTCTGAGTCTGATCCTCCCTCTTCCCCACCCCCTACTGCTGTGTGTGGACAGTCTGGACACGCAGTTACACATGTTGACCAAAGCAAGAGGCGA